TCCTCCTCCTCCTCCTCCTCCTCTTAGCTTCCTCCTCCTCATCCTCCTCTCCTCGGCCGCCGCCTGCGCCTCCGCCTCCGACTCCGCTTCCGCCTCTGCCTCCGCCTCCGCCGCCGCCTCCTACTCCTCCTCCGCCACCTTCTCCTCCTCCTCCGCCTCCTCCTCATCACCACCATCACCACCACCACCAACCGCCACCACCACCACCACCACCACCACACCATCATCAACCATCACCATCACCATCACCATCACCATCACCATCACCATCCCATCACCATCATCATCATCATCATCATCTCATCATCATCATCCATCCATCATCATCATCAGCAGCAGCAGCAGCAAGCTAGCAAGCGCATCATCCTCATCATCATCATCATACACATCATCAACATCTCCCCCCCCCCCCCCCCCCCCCAAAAAATCATCAGCATCATCATCATGATCATCATCATCATCACCATCATCATCCTCATCACCATCAGCAGTATCAGCATCAGCACCAGCATCAGCATCATCATCATCATCATCATCATCATCATCATCATCATCATCATCATCATCATCATCATCATCATCAGCATCCGCATCAGCATCAGCATCATCATCATCATCATCAGCAGCAACAGCAGCATCATCAGCATCATCATCCTCACCACGCGCTCCAGGTAGAGGCCGACCACGTGCCCCAAATTTGGGACGTCCACCTTGGGGCTCCTCCTCCGTGGGTCCGTCAAGTTGACGATCGGGTCACCCTAGGGCCGATGACCCCAGACCGCCTTCGGAAAATTGCACGCAGTTTTCCCCACAGGACGGCATCTACTTTACGCGGACGATATTTGATCACCGTACCGAGCCTCGAAATTTCGAAGAGCCCCCTGGCGTCGTCGAATGCCGACTGCGCTGGCGTGCCCCTCTGCGAGCCCAACGAACGTGCGAACGCCAACCATTCGACCCAAATGGGTCGACGAGAAAACTCGACAACCGACTCTTAGGCCGCCGATGAAAACCAGGCGCGGTACGGTGCAAAGTTTTCGCCCTGCAAAAGACACCAAAAACTATGCACCGTACCAAGCGGGGCGCCATGTGCGGCGGGGGCTCTCAGGAAAATCCACCTGAAACCTCCGCCGCAGAACCGACAGGGGCCGCGAGGATTTCCAGGCTCTCCTATTCGAGGCTCCCGCGCCAGCTTGGGCTTCGAGCGCGCACTCCCCTCGTCGCAGCGGCGGCGGCGGGCGCGCACTGCGTCCGCAGCCTGAGCGGGGGGGGCGCCGCCAGGGGGACACCGTGCACAGGCCGGCAAGGAGGGCGGCCGCGGGAGAGGGAGAAGGGCGGCGCACCCGGACCACCGGCAGGGGAACAGAGAGCGCAGAGGCACAAACTTGCCATCGCTCGGACGCACATTTCCCGTGCATTTGCCGGGTTCGCGCTTGTGTTTTTTTCGTAAGATGGATGATCCAATCTGCTCCTCGATGGCTCGCGCCGAAGAAAAACTGCTCGCGTCCGAGCGATGCCCAGCAAACGGCTGGAAGTCTGCGCGGATTTTTCGGATCGGCGCCGGACCCCCCCACACACTGGCGCGCGGAGCGCGCCAGGGACGGCGCCAGAGGCGCCTCCAAGGCGCAGCGCAGATCGAAGAAATCGAGCGGATCTCAAAAAAAATGACGTTTGTGCACTTGCTCTTCGTCGATCAGACCGCTACGCAACGCACCACGCAACAGGGAAAACATAGCCCAAGGCTGAGGCTGCACGGCCTGCGCAGGGCAATGCGCGACCCCTGTCTCCCTCGTCGCCCCCGAAGTGCGCCCTTCCGCCCAAAATCGTTTCTCTTTAGCTGCGTCTGCTTCGCCCCCTTTTCCGCCCCCGCCCCGCTTCTGCCGCGCACACGGCTCGCGCGCAGAGCGCGGCCAGCCGGCCGGCGACAACACGAGCGCACACGAAATGATGGTGCACGATGGCGGCCGAGTCGGCCATCATGCGAGGCCCGACCCTTCAACTCGGGGGCGCGCAAACATGGATTAGCGGTCCATGGATCTGGCGCGCGGTCGCCAAATCCATGGATCGTGGGAAGCGCCCCCCCCGAAATGCGGCCGATGCCGCCTCGCTCGGCGGCGGAAGTCCGCGATTTCCCATGGTAACGGGACCCGTCGCTAATCCACGCCCCCTCCACTCATGTTTGCGATCGCCTGGTCAAGGCCCCCCCTCCTCCGCCCCGCCTGGGCGCGCCGCCGAGCGCGCGCCCCCAGCGCCCTCCCGGCGCTCTGCCGCCGCAGGCTGGGAGCGCAGCAGCCGCACCTGCCCACGCTGCAGTCGGGGAGACGCAAGACTCGGGTGCGTGGGGCTCGGGTTGGCCGGACGCGGCCATCATGAAAATGACGAGAAGCAAAAGCAGAAGCAGAAGCAGAAAATCCTGGCATATAATGGCCCGCGAGGGGCAGGACAAATAATATACAACATGCTACGCGCGCGCCGCCCAACGTGCAAACTCAGAAGCGCGGCTCTCCCAGTCTACTTTGTCCGTGGCTAGCCGCAGCCAGTCTCCCATATCCACGTCTCTACAGAACCGCCTGAGCACGTCTTCGAATTTCATCCATCTGCGCCGGAGAGGCCGGGGTGGACGCCCTGAGCCGAGGTCGGCCACCTCAGCTGTCCATTGAGAGCCGCGCCACGTGGTGACAGCATACACCCATGATGCATGGTGGGAATTCGACAGCTTACGGGCCCACCGCCATTTTCGCCAGAAGCGCTCGTCCTCCCAGTCCCTGACAGCGGAGTCGTGCGCCATGTCTTTCGCTTTGGAAGTTGCCCTTTTATCCACTTTACCCAGCCTCCGGCAATGCGCTGAAGCATGCTGTGTTGAGCTGTTTTCAATCGCCGGAACTCCTTGGCCCGAGGGGTCCACGATTCCGTCGCCAACAGCACGCAGTCTGCGACTATGGTGTCGAACAGACGCAGTCGTTTCTTCATTAAGTACGCCCTGTTCAGCAGCAAACGCTTCAGCGACCAGAACTTTTTCCAACCGAACGCCATGCGATTCGATCGTTTCCAAAATGTTGCTGACCTCCGCAAGGGCCCCGTCCAAAACGAGATTGAAAAGCACCAGGGACAGGGTGTCGCCTTGCCTCACTCCCCGGTCGATGCCGAACGTACGGTTATCAGCCCCATCCCATAGTGAAACATTCCCTTTGACTCCGTGGTACATGCGCCGCAGTACAACGACAGTTGCTGCATTGATGTTGTTTACCAAAGCGTCGAAGAGAGCTGAATGATGCACTCTGTCAAAAGCTTTTTCCACGTCCAACGTGGCCACCTACAGCTCCTCTCCCCACTCCAGCGACTTCTCGATGACGGTACGCACGATACGCACAGCATCCGCACACCCCCGGCCTGGTCGAAAGCCAAATTGCTCTTGTGAGAGTTTCGAATCTACGTCCGCAGCCACCCTGTTGTACAAAACTGTGCTAAAGAGTTTGCCAATGAGAATGACTAGACCCACAGCCTGCAATTTGGCGCGACCTCCCGCTGCAGACATCCTGCGAGAACTGGACCGTCAAAACCCAGGACGCGCTCGTCAAGAGGCGTCGGCTCACCCGAGTTCCGGCTTACCCGAGTCTTGTCTTGCGCCTCCCCGATGCAGGGGGACGACAGGGGGGGACCGGCTCACGGGGGGAGAAGCCTCGATCTGGGGTCGGCGACGCGTCGCCGACGGATCGGCGAGGGGCCCCGGATGGCGAACCCCCACCTCCCTGCACGGGCTGGGCCATCAGCCCCCCCGTCGGGGGTGAATGGGCGCCTTGGGGGTCGATGCACCCCCCCGTGAGCCTATCCCCCCCCCTGACTTTGCCCTCTGGCGTTCGGGCCTCTGGCGGCCGCTGGGGGCGATCGGGGCACCCCCAGAGCGCTCTCGACGGGGCGCAGCCACTGGAGGGCGCCCGAGGCTGGAAAGCCGCCGAGAACCGCCGAGAGGGGGGGGGGGCCGATGCCTCCCCCCTGGGCATCTCCCCCCCCGAACGTTGTTGCCCCTGGCAGGCTGGTTTCCCCGGAGGGCTCGGCAGTCCGCGGGAGCCACAGGCGGCGGCAGTGCGCGAGCGACCCTCCACTCCCCACGACCACTCCCCTGGGGTAGCCCGCTGGGTTGGAGGTCCTCAACATGGTCCCGAGCTGGTTACATCGATCGGAAGGCCGCACCGACATCGCCCACGCATCGGCGACGCCGACACGGACAAAGCTGGGCGTGGCATCGCCGATGCACCGGCAAGCCCCATCCAGGAGACTTGGACTTGGTATGAAGGAAGCAGGTCCCGAGGGAAACGGGCCCTGGGCCCTGGGGCCCTTCCCCAGGGCCAACTCTTCATCCCGAATCGTTTTTCCCTGAGATCCGGCGTCGGCCAAAAATTGAAACATCGCAAGGAATCACGAACGGAGCCCTAGACCTCATCATTCTGCTTCTTAAACTGGATCAATCTGCGATGATCCAGGGCCCAAAAGCCAGGCGACAACGCCCGGCTTGAAAAAAGGAGACATCAAGATCTCAGGGTTTGGCAGCCCAGTGCGGGCTCCCGTGGAATGCCACGAGAGCCTAAAAGCGGCGAAAGACCGCAGGACCCGCTTCCCTCCTCCTCCTCCTCCTCCTCCTCCTCCTCCTCCTCCTCCTCCTCTTCCTCCTCCTCCTTATCCTCCTAAATTCCTTCACCATTCCTGCACCATTCCTCCACCATTCGTCCTCCATTCCTCCTCTATCCCTCCTCCATTCCTCCTCCATTCCTCCTCCATTCCTCTTCCATTCCTCTTCCGTTTCCTCCTCCTCCTCCTCTCCCTCCTCTCCCTCACTTCACTCCTCCTCCTCCTCCTCCTCCTCCTCCTCCTCCTCCTCCTCCTCCTCCTCCTCCTCCTCCTCCTGAGGACCCGCCTCCCGCAGGACACGTTTACCCTGCGGGCGGGCCCGGAGGATCGGATGTGGCCCGCCGGGGGCGCACACGCCGCCGGCAGGCCGCCCT